AACCTTGGTGCTCTCCGAGTCCCGCCTGAAACCGCGCCGGCTGCTCGTGCCTTCGGGGGGATGTTTTGAAGCAGACCCGGGGGACGAAATAGACCTGGGGTGGTCAGTGATGGCAAATGGATGGATTCGCTCGTTTAGCAACCGGGCTGTGAGCGTGAGCTCTCCCACGTTCTGAGATCTCCCCTCGAAAGCCATTCTTAAAACCCCTCCTCACTGAGGTGGGGCAGAGAGCTGGGCTGCAGCAATCATCCGCAGTCTGTGCTCATTCAAAAATCACTGCCTTGAGAAAGGGAGCCATGTGTTTTGCTGTCCTAAAATACCCAGGGTTTACCTTTTTTTACCTTAAGCGTAAGACCTCACCCACATTTTTGTATCTGGTGTGAGGAGTTGTAGGGACTGGCAATCAGTAAGTAAGCGTCCCTCCTTGAGAAGTCGTAAAATTGACGTAGTTTTAGCTTAAGGCACGCTTCAGTGAAAGCTGGTTTGAAGCAAAAGCTGCTGCGTGAGGGGATCCTGGAGGAGATGAACGAGTCTTTCCTTTTTAGAACCGAGAAAACGCTGCGTCGGGTTCAGAGCAGGACTTGAAGTATCCTCTGCCCGACGTCAGGGTACGGTGGGTGCACATCCATGCCTGCTGCAATAAATTTCCCTCACCCGGCCAAGGGCAGAAGCGAGGGTCGGGTTGGAATAAATTCAGACAAAATTCCGTTAACTGATGCAAAGCGAGCGTTTCCTTCCTGTTTTCTCGAGTGCCTGCTGAGTCCTGCCGCGTGCAGAGCTCCGCTCGCCACACCAACAACCCCAACCGCTTCGGGCTCGGGGGCCGCGTGGCCGCGCCGTCACGACGCCGTCGGGATAGAGGCACAGCGTAGTGCGGGAGTCGGGCTCGGAGCCGACGTGCGCTGGAAGCGCTCGCGTGCCATTTCGAAGGGTTCCGTAGCCAAACCTGTGATGCTTTTGCAGACTTCGTTAGGTTTCTTGCATGCGGAGGTAGATGTGTTTGTCCTCTCCCACGTATCGTAACTGTTCTTTTACAATTGAGTGCCTTAATAATAGTTTACAAATACTGTGTATTTATGCCGAGCTGTTCAACTCTGCTGTTTGCTGTTCTTTTTTGTTTTTTCTTGGTGCTTTTGATGTTTCCGGCAGCAGCGAGACCGTTACTCCCTCTGCATCCCCGCCTCCCGGCCCCGCTGAGCTCAGCGCCGCTCACCGACCGCTTCTCTTCTCCTGCCCTGGCTATGCCAAAACCAAAGGGCAAAAGCCACAGTCCCCCCCGGTGCCTCCCGTTTATCTATGCATCGCTGCAGAAACGTGGACGAGGGGTGCCTGGGGATGGCCGGGCGTGAATCCAAACCCGGTCCCGTTCTGCCAGAAAACCCGAAATGCACAAAACCAGCACCTTGTTTCCAGTCCCAGTTTGGCCAGTCCGAGTGACGGCAATCGCCGTCCTCCCCGTTGGCCTTCCCGTGAAGGGGGGTGGTCGGCTCGGTGGCGTCCCGGTGTCCCCCGGGGACCCAGCTCCCGACCTGGGAGGGGGAGATCAAGCCGGTTCGAGCACAAGTGGCAAAGCCGGAGAGGAGAGGAAGGTCGGGCGAGTAACGTGGAGCTGTTTCCAGTGCGTTGCTGTAACTGTGATAACAATGTTCCTTCTGTCCCACGGTATTTCTTAATTCTGGTTTTTATATTTAAATATGCAGTATCTTTTTGTACTGTACGTTCGCAGTGGGGGGGAGATGCATAATGCACTTTTTTTTGTTTTTTTTACTTTCATTTGTAAAAATGTACTGTATATTTTCTGTGCTTCTCGTGAGAAAAAAAAATAAAGTTGTTTTTTTGGGAGTTTTTTTCTGGTTTCCTTTCACAAAACGAGCTTTGCGGCGTTTTTCGAGGTGGGGAACAAGCCCCGGCGAGGGTGGGAAGGGAAGGAGGCGGCGGGCGCGTATCGCCGGCGCAGCAGCCGGTGCCTGGGCCCCCCCCTCCCCCCCTCCCCGGCGCCGCGGCCGTTGCCTGGCTCCCACCGTCCCCTGCTCTGCGTTATCTCTTCCTGGCTGTGCTCGCCTGTTTTTTTGGGTCCTGGCTCTTTTCTCCCACCCCTGAAGGCCGGACAGGGAGATGCTTTTATCCCTCTCGGTTGTGTCCTTGCAGCACTGGACACGTTTCAGCTGTAGCAACGCACTCAAGCCCCAGCACGGGCGAGCTTGCAGGTTTTTATTTAAGAAGAAAAGGGAAGGAAATAGAAATAGGCTTAATTCCTGGAGGCAGAACTGAAATCTGTAACTCTCTGCCTCTTTCCAGAGACCCCAGGCCGGGTTTAAGGAGAAGCTGCTCGCGTTCCAGCGCTGTCACGAGCGGATGTTGGCAGCGGCGCCGTCACGCGTGCGAGAGCAACGCCTGCGCCGGGCTGAGCCCTCCCCGCGCGGCCAAGAGCTGCTGTCGAGAGGGGCTCGTGCTGCTGCCGCTTTGGAATTCCCACAGACCCGTGCTGCTGTCTCCTCGGAAGAGAAGAGCCGAGGAGCTAAACCCTGGGACGTGTCTTTTCTCCCCCGAGCCGAGCCTTCTGCCGCCCCACGATCCACCCGAGGTGGGACCAGCCCTTCCCGGGCATTCGCCAAATTTTGCCTTTAAAGGCAAACAGCGAGCATCTGTCTCGTGGGCTTGTGGCGAGTCTTGTTACTGCCCGGGATTGTTCTCGCTCTCAAAGCTGCTTCGGGGAGGAACATGTCAGTGTTTGCCTTGGCAGGGCAGCAAAGCGCAGGCCGGGGGTGCTCTCCAGCTCTGGCGAACTTGCTAATTGCCTCAAAGGGTCGTTAACGCCCCCCAGGTCCACCTGGACCTGGGCAGGAACCGGCACTTACCGCCAACTTCCTGATGGTAATTTGCCAACTCTTGACGTGCGCAGAGCCGAGAACTCTCGTTGGGGTGAACTTAAGTCCTACCGCAGGGTTAGCAGAGGCCGGGGTTGGTTCCGGTGTGCTAAGAGCCGAGCAATACGCTGTTTTGAGAGCAAGGGCCCGGGGAGCATCTTCCGTTCACCCCAGAGCCACGTGTGGCACATGCTGGCTGATGCCACTTCGTGTCACTGGTGCATTTCTGGGCTGCACCAGCTGGGAAAATATTCCACAGCATCTCCCGCAGAAATGTGGCTCTTCCCCGAGGTGTGGGAGCAGGCGTGTCCCTGCGGCGGGGGGCACCAAGAGCTGGAACCAGCGTCTGATGCTCCCCTGGTGGAGGACAGAGACCCCCGGCTCAGTCACCCCTGCACGGAGTGCTTGGCTTTGTGTCAGGGCTCTGAGAGCTGCCCAGATGTGCCGATGGCACGTGAAGGAAAACTGCGGGAGAGGGTATGTGTATGCGTGTGCAGGCATGTGCACGGCGTGTGCAGGCGTGTCCATGGCGTGTGTAGGTGTGTGCATGGTGTGTGTAGGCGTGTATATGTGTGTGAAAGGTGTGCATGTGCACGGTGTATGTGTGTGCACGGTG